TAGTATGGTAGTCAAGAGAGACACGTACATTAATATCTATTTAGTTCCGTTATTTTCTGTCTAGCGCTGTAAATGAGAGAAATTTTTTTCAATTACAAATCTGGATTTAACTTTTACCTTTACGTTGAAATTTATCGTATAAACTAGTCTTATTATTAAATGTAATACATGTCGATAATAAATTGAATGTAATTCTACAATTTATTATAATCAATAATTAGAAGTCAGACGAAGATTTAAGATTTTTAATAAATTTGTGATAACAGAGATTGCGTCGCCTCTTAAGATTGTAAATCTATGAAACAAACAAATTCTCTAAATTTCGCATCAGCATAGCTCTTTAGAAAAAAAAAATATAAGATCTTTTTTTTGCAAAATATAATATTATAATATTATATTACTATTTAATTTTTGAACATAATATAAGAATTTATTTAATTACATTCAAGCATATTGTATTTGTGAATACTTACGATTGGCTTGTGACATTGCTATCATAGCGCAAAAGATGAGAACAGCATACATAAGTTTTCGTAACATGATATTTCTTGAATGCGCTGAAAAAAAAGAACTGACATTTGCGCTTATGATATTCTTATATATATGTATATTATATAATAAGTTTATATATTGATTTTATGTATATGTAAAAGTCTTTACGGGAAGTTAATTGTTACTAATTACTGTTAATTGTTAAATGTGTATGAGTCATAGACGTTTACAATAAACTTTTAAAGATTAAGTAACAACAGCATTTATCGTTAAGTAAATTATTATCTTTTCGTTAAAAAATTGAACAAAATGTAAGAAGATTACACACGGATGATTCATACATTTTAGTATCTCATGCAAATATAATAGGAAACATGTACTACTAAAGTTAATATTAATTAGATATAAAGTGAAGGAAAAATATATTGATAAGTTTAAAAATATATTGATAAGTTTCATAGTCACTTTAGTGCATCGTCGATTGAATATCTTAATTTACTGAAAGCTGTAAAAATTTATGATCTTTTTAGAAAAATTATTAAAACATTCTAAAATCCGAAGTTCTATATATATATGCTGGTATGTCAACGCAGTAATAAGTAAGATTTATGTTGATAAGGCAAATCAATAATAGTAATCTCATGTATAACTTCTAATCTCTGTTATATGTCCATAACTCATTTGTTAGTCACAGTTTTCACTCAATTATAGGAATCATGCGTAGCGTAACTGTATTCAGATTAATCATAATCATGATACATGATTATTAAATGAGATAAATCATTTAATTGTTTCAGGAATATACAAGTCATTCAATTTATAGACTTATCCGCGGAATTCGCAATTCATTTTGCTCATTATTAAATTCCTCTTGGAATCGGCACCGATGTACCAAGCATTATTTGAACAATACCCTAGCTCGCAAACCAGTGAGTAAATATGTGCGAGCAAAGCAAATGCATAATTTATTTTGAACTTGCAGAATCTGTGTCAGCGGCGATCGTCGTTTACCTAAGAAATAACTTCGTTCTTAATATTCGAATCTCGTCGCGTATAAGCACGATCTTTCCATCCTCCATAAATCAATTTAGCCATTTAACGATACGATTTCTACGATACAATTATCTATAATTATAATTATTATAGATGTAATTCTTTGGAAAAATACCTGTCGTATGGAATCGCGATCGGGCACGCGATCAACGCGCGAGTGAAACATTATTATTTTGCTCTGCACGACTGTCATGTAATTGTGTGACACGTTATCGATGCGCTTTTGCACTTATCTGATATGTACATTACAATTCACTACTTTTCCCGTCGTTGCGGCCGATGGTAAGGAGACACCACACAGTGCAGATGCAACCGCGAAATGGATCGGATCCGGGATCATCGCGTATCGCGCTCGATTTGCCAAGCTGGCTCGTGAAATTAATCGGACTCCTATTGCCGCCTATGATCGCCGATCTGCGTCACGCGATCGTATGGTGAAGGATGTTTCCCAAGCCTGATCTCTCCTCCCTGATCCTAGGTCTGATCGTCGTCCTCGAGTGTACTAGATTTAATCTCGCGTGGGGCCAATTGATCAGGCCAGTTTACGTGTACGAAGGTCTGATCAAAGATATCCACGACTACTTCAATAACACGTGCATCATACTTCTGCACACGAATCCGAATCCCATTGAGACACAGGGTGAGAACAAAGGCGCAAAGGCGGAATATCGTGTCGATCGAAATTGGCGCGCGCTCTCATCCCGTGCGATCGATCCTTCCAATGTATCGAAAGTTTATACTTTTGCAGGACTCGTGGAAAGCGAAGGCTTGCTGATTCTTCAGAAATATTTGAGCATGACTCATCATATACGAACAACTTTCATGGATTTTCATATGTTCAGCACACGGGTAACCGAGAGAATCAAGACTCTTCTTTTCGCTTCTTTCTTTCAATACTTCATAATTATCGAATATAAATAGATTAGATATCAAAGAATTTCTTAGAAGATTGTAATGTAATGAAATGCTACATAATGGATCGTTATCTGTATTTAATTTGTCAAAAATGGTGCATTTATCTTCTTGCCAAAAAAGATGAGATTTAATTGCTTCCAGATTGGACAAAGTTATTATCACATCAAGAGGCCTTTGTTCGTGATATTAAACGACTATGAAGATACAAGACATGATTTTGCATATGTAATTATTTCTTAAACGTTTAAAGAATGCTATTAATAAAATTTACTTTGTTGATTTGATTATTGCAATATTATTGTTTCTCTTAATATATTAAGAAACTGTATATGATATGTAGAGCTAATGTAAGTAAAAATACAAAAGCAATCTTTTATTTTAGTAATTTTTATGAATATATTTCTAAGTTAAATAAACTTATAAAGCTTCTATTTTTGGATAGGCTTCAATTTTAGATTAAAGTTTTATAAAACTTTTTTTTCTTCTTTCGTAAAATACTGCTTTTGCTATTCTTTTTTCATAAAGTAAAGTCTAAAGAGTCTTCAAAAGAAAAAGCGACATGAACATTTATTTACGAAAATGCAGCAGATTTCAACGTGGATTGCAATGGCATATCCTACCTGGCTGATATTCTTCCGTAATGAGACCAAGTTCGCGGACTTTTTCTTTGAAATTTACGTACCTTTCGATTGCAAGTTTATGGTGGCTCAGAGTAGTGTCAACGTAACCGGCAAAGAAATCATCACTGAAGTTTATCAAGTTGACAGAGGAAAAGAATTAAGATCAATGCAGTTTGGTGTGTGGGATATAAGGAAGGGTTTGAAGGGTCCCACACGTGGTTTATTTTTCAGAAGAAACAATCTTTTCGGCCAAAATATACGCGTTACATCAGTCCACGTAAAATCGCTTATCTTACTTACTACAGTAGAGTAATGATTTAATAATTCTAATTAAGCATGCAATAATTACTCATTAGCAATTAGTAATGAGACAAACTAAAAAAAGAATTAATATAAATATTATTGGTATTATTGGTATTAAGAGTTAATATAAAATTATTGGTAATTAATGAAGTAACTTGTTAAGAAATAAGCCTTCATAATCTTATTTTTTTTTCTACCAAACATAACGTAACAGTACTTTGAAAAATGTTTTTCTTTTATTCATTTATTATCTCATGTTTTTTATCTTGTTTAAAAACTGAAAATTCATTATATGCTTAGCAGTTGCTTTGGTGAATTATATAACACGTTTTATGCACGTAGGATCCTCCTATCAGTCTGTTTCACCATAATGAACAGAATGAAATAACAAGAATAAGTGGTTTTTTCGGGGAAGTTATACTACTGTTGCAAGAAGCATTGAATTGCACGTAAGTGTACTATTAGATAAAAGTTTGTGCGTGCAAAAGAAAAAATATTTTATGTAAAATCATCTGTAGATAAGTACTATCAATGATTATATTGTATAATAATTTATTATTAAAACTGTAATTTATTAAATTCAAGACAAGATAATAATTAGGACATACTGAATTTTATTATAACTTTCTATATTTTCTATCATGTTTTATTGAGATTTTTTTGAGATAATTTAATTAATTTATCGTTTCTCTTATCTCTCTTGTTTCTTTTGTTTCTCTTGTTTCTCTTTATCCTTTTCCGGTGTTTTATCATTTTCCTTTGCTTTTTTATTTTTTTTCTCTTCTTTAATTTGCTTTTGCTTTTCTTTGAGTTCTTTTAGTTGTCTTGCAGTTTCTCTTCGGAAATATTCATCCTCACTAGCCGCTGCTTTTTCTTCAAAAATCTCTCTCTTTCGGCCAGTGCCAGTTCTTCGACGTCTTTCCGAATACGTTCTTAGATTGTATGATGGATAAAGCCTAATTATATTATAATTTATTGAAAAATATTAATTAAAGTTTGCTTTATTGATACAAAATGTAATATTCAATATAACAGATTATCAAGTTTCAATTAACACAGTTTATAACATATAAATAACATAAAATAATATTGTTGTATGTGTAATACTTGCTTAAATTAATAATTAATATTTAATAATTAATATTTGAATTAAAATATATTAATTTCTTTTTCTTTTTTTCTATGTCGTGTTAATGCTTATTGCTAAAAATGATAAAATTTGTTGTTTAATATCTTTAAAGAAGGTTACATTGTTGTCTTAATCCTTTTTAATCTGATCCCCCATTTTGCGGCAAGATTACGGAGCATGACGTTATCATTGTTCCTTCATCCTGTATTCTTCTCTCTTTCTCTGAACAAGAAATTACGCAACGGCTATTGTTGTTTAAAGTGATTTGTCAATAATTTTGACATAACTTTTTTATTTGAATTTTTTATTATTTTATTAATTTCGATTTTTTGACAGCTAATTTTTTGACAGCTTTCGCTGCGTGAAGTTTTTTCAGAAATAATATACTACTGAAACTAATCGATTGCTTCGCTTCTTTCCTATATGTAGTACAGGCGATGACAAAATTGCTTACTACAGAAATTTTATGCTAAAATGTGTTGCAGATTCACATACAAGGAAGCCGAATCATGGGGTATGTGTTTACCAGATGGCTCATGTACGGGGGCGATCGGGATGTTAATGAATAACGATGTTGACTTCGCGGCGACGGAGTTCATGATGACCTCGGACAGATTAGATTCTATCAGCTTTACAACGCCCATTTACACAACCAAGTATATTTCCACTACACCAAAGTTTTCAAGTACTAAATAGAGACGTCCTCATACAGCATATTTTATTTTCGGAGGGATGTCTCGAATACCTAAGGACGTCTTCTTATCCGGAGATCGTTCTCTGAACGTCTTTAAAACATCCGTTGAAAGTCTATGCTGTATTGGTCTTAATTTAAACAATATTTTAATAACAAATTTAAAATGTTTGGAATCTAACTTAAGATATTTTGTATTATTAAAATTGCGTATTGCAAATTATCAAAATTTATATTAAATATTAATGCGATTTAATCTATTTTACTTGATTTAATGCCAGGAATATTAAATTTGATTGTCCAGATATATTATAATTTTTATCGAGTTCATTAAAAACATTTTATATTTGTGGGTTTATAAGTCAAGTAATTAATATTATTTAAATTCTTTAGATGTCGCACATACATTAAAAGACCTGCGTCGGCCGATGTAAAATGGAATGCTTATACGGCACCGTTTTCCGCGAATATCTGGGGCACCATCGCTCTTTTTATCATAATTACGAGCGGACTGATTGTGATTATTCAAAGAATATCTGCATTCACATCCCTATCTTTTCAAAATAACAATCATCTGCCGTCTAGATTTACAGAGGTTTTGTTTTATGTCGTAGGAGCGTTTTGTAGTCAAGGTAACTACCTAAATCCTATATTTAATTTTTTTTTAAATATACGACCACTATAAAAAATGATATTAGGTATGGAACAATCGACGCTAGATCCTGTAAAAATAGTGCATCTCATGATCCACTTGTCGGCCGTTGTGATCCTAGCCGCGTATTCCGCTGCTCTAATTAGCTTCCTTGCTGTCAAAACATTTATCATGCCCTTTACAACCATGGACGGCCTTCTGAAAGATGGGACCTATCGTTTCAGTGCGGTTGGTGATTCAGCTGACTATAGTTTCTTTCAGGTGCTTAAAATGAACCTTAGATTATTTTTACCACAGGGTTTAGAGAAATATATTTAAAGCAAAATTAAAATTTTAATTAATTAAATGTCTTATATGTATGAGAATATGATATATTGCATACTAATCTGTATATCCTTTTTTTTTTTTAGAAGCTAGTTTTTATGTCATTGAAAATCATTATTTTATAGAAGGAATTATATAAAATTATAGAATATATTACATAGAATTATATAGAATTTACTTTCACAATACAATTATATATATTGATATATTTAAATATTTGTAATATATGTATTATAAATATAGTATGATTTATAATATAATGTATTAATTTACAATAAATTTTATTATGACTAGAATACGTCGGATAAGATAATGAGCGTGCTGTTCGATCAATTATTAGTAAAAGAGACCAATTTGCCGCGTAATTACTTGGACGGTTTGGAACGCGTTTGCAAGGAGAATAAATACGCCTTTATGACTCTGGACAATATGGCAGCATTGCTGCAGCAGAAAGTCGACTGCAAATTGGAGCCGTTGGATACCATCACGCAGATTACCGTAGCAATGGGTTTGCAACTAAATAGCCCATATCGTGGTATCATTAATACAAAGTGTGTGCGAGATCCATTGACGTTTAATTAAGATGATTAAATGTCGTTCTGGTTGATTGAATGGTTGACTGATTGATTTCCATTTTATTTGTTACAGTATTCTTCTGCTGAGAGATAGCGGGATTCTGGAGCGCTTGTTGGAGACGCAATGGTCCATCAAGTTAAGCGAAGTGAGTACATGTGTTTGTAAATTTTGCAAATTATTATTTGATTGATTGTTTGATATATTTGTGTCTGATCGCAGGCAACATCGTCATGGAAATCGGTCGAAATCGGCGATATAGTACCATTACTACTTCTCATAACTGTCGCGTTGCTTATTAGTTGCCTTGTTTGCGTTATGGAGTACATTATTGTGAAGAATTTCTCCACTCGAAAGAAATTAAAAATAAATAAATTACAGAAAATTGTAAATAGGATATAAATAGGATGTTACGTCGCCACAGTTTTGCTTAATAAAACTTAACGCATTTAGTTAATAAAAAAACCGATGTTTGTTATACCTATTCTTTATTTTTTCGATTTTAATACTAATAATAAAGAACGAATAAATAATGCCGAATTTCGAATTCTTCACGTCATGTTTGCTATTTC